ACAGAACAACTAAAAATAAAGACATCAGAATAATACCAAAAGGCACGCCGACTTGATTTCTAAGCCTAGAGCTTCTGTTGCGGAAAATGGTTTACAGATTTGCAGAAATTATTTGATCGACGAAAATGCTCCAGAATTATAAGGATCTGATCCTATATTTATTTTTGATGAATCTGGTGAACACTGCCTTCCTGTCTCCGTCCTCAAAGATGGCGGTCAGTGTCTCTTAGTAGATATAGATTCACTCGATTTTCCTGCGTCAATGCCTCTTCATGGTGTATCGTACGCCCACAAGTGTCTTGTCTTGTAGTACTGCGAAAAACGTATTTTTCTAAAGATTGGATTATTTGCATCTGTATCAGTGCGAAAATCCGAATCAATTAATGCTTCATTTGGATCATCGATTCTCAGTAAGATTCAAGAGCAGAGTGCAAGTACTTTATATCAATTTTGATTTGTACATAGTATTTAATTCAAAATTAAATTCAGAATATCGAACATGAAAATTTTCGATACTATAAACTGTTTGACGACATGTTGATGTGAATGTAACCAAATCGTATTCCAATCCAAATCTGCATCTTAGCGACGTGAAATTAAAAAACGTAGCCCATATATTAGACAGCAAAGGCGACTCTTAAATTGTTCATATTGGAACCTACTCGAGCCTTTTGGAATCAAGCGAAAAAAATACTGACTTGTTGTCGTAGCAATTTGAATGTGTTCAAAACATGGATAGGAATATCTTGTGATATATACTTAAAAAATAGTTTCCCTTTTTACCTCAGATACCCATTTTTGAAATGAAACAAAACTCCAAAAGGGGAATACTCTTATCCTTTATTCAATCAAATGCAGATTGAAGTAATAGAACATCCAGAGAACGTGCAACTAACGATCAAGTTATATCATTACCTGTTAAAAAACAAATTTATCTCAAACAAATCCTTCAATCCAGATTATTTACATCAATCTTCTGTTTACGGATAACAAGGTAAAATATTCAGAACTAGATTCTGCCCCCTTTGTTGTTCACGTGAGGAGAAAATCACGGAACCCTGTTCTGGCTGTTTTGTGCCCTATCAAAATTCACCACTTCTTGTTCTATAATAAAATTAAAAATGTTGTTAAGAACGGTGTCAAACGTATTGGCAGAAATAGAATCTCCGTTGAATTTAAAAACTACAGTGATGCTAATGCTTTCACTTATTTATTACAGAAATGGTATAATACGTCAATTATTGACGCGGGAGATTTGGTTTTCTATCATTCTGTTGATATTCAAATTTAAGTTGTCGGGATTTGTGGAGACGTTATTACGACATTGAGAAAAAACTAAAAGAAGCAGAAGCTTGTTGTGTCTTAACAGACAAAAAAGCTGATATTTCTGGTACTGAACAATTTATCGATTTGGCTGCGATATTTTGACGAAGAAGTCAATGAAGTCCAAGAAATCTTTGTCCAATTAATTGAGCTAAAAGGTTTGAATATTGCATCGATAAATTTCCGACAAAGGAGATCGTAATCCTGGTAAACGCATTGATTTTGGGTTTGACGGTTGTTCGACTATGTCCCGAAAAAACGATGAGGTACAAACGATCCTACGAAAAAATATACCAAAGCATTGTACTTTCATTGCTCGTCCCACATACTGAATCTGGTAATAAATTATCTCAACAAGCTTCCTGAAATTTGAAACGCCATGGGAACCACCAAAAATATTATATTTTTTTTCGGCAATCCGTTTTGAGAAGAACATTGGTACCTAATATTTCCAGGCTCAGCGTAACAAGATGGATTGAGAAACACAAAACTATCAGAGTATTAAAGGAGATTTTTCCTATTGTATTGGAAGCCATAGATACCTTACCGTGAGAAGGAAAAAGCGCTTTTCAGCTGCATAAAGCTGCTTTCAGAATTTCAACTATACTTGCTATTACTTTGATAGCCAAATACTCTACTTTGATGGAACCTGTTGTCAACGCACTCCAATCCATAGCTTTTAACGTGGTCTAGGTCTCGCAACACGTTAAACGCATTTCGCAATTGCTTGAGAGCTTAAGAGAGTCACAGGTGAAATATTAAGGATGCTACTGCTGTTGCGGAGAAAGTCGGCCTGGAAGAGGACATCACCTTAATTCCGCGCATTGTCAAGAATTGCTGCTCTTCTGAAACTATTGCTTAATTTTATAACTTATCTAAAAAACTGAAGTCGAGCTTTGGCAATAATTTTGGATAATAAACCAAACCGTACAAATCGAAACGTTGTTGATATCTTAAAAAAGACAAAAACCTTTTTTTCCGGTAGAAAAGAGCATTGAAAATTTTGATAACTCTCCCGTGCACAACATGTACGGCATGTACAGTAGAGCGATCGTTTTTTAGTATACTCAGAAAAATAAAAACCTAAGCTAAGAAGTAAGAATCGTCTGGCCATGAGTGTTCACAGAAAACTGATTCATGAAAACTTACTAAAATTTAATAATAAAGTGGTGTAGAAGAAGAAGCCAGGAAGGATTATGTTTTAATTAACCGAATCAAAACAAAGAACCTTTGATGACCATTATATTAAAATCGCACAAAAAAAACACTGTATACACTTATTCACATCCCAACTCCTATTTTTTTTTTTATAAAATTCGCCCGATTTCTTCTGATTCTTGGCTGGAAAATAGGTAAATCATCCAGCCGAACATTGGGAGAAATCGGGAGATTACAATTTTTGTATTCTGCAGCACCCAGTGTAAAAAAATACAACGAATAAACTATGTTGCAGGTGAATTGCTACTACCATTTCGGCATAACCGCTGATAAGTTACTTTGCTTCATACACAAGCATCAATTAAAAATACAAAAGACCGCTATAGTAAACAGTCAGAAGAGGAAGCGTTGCTAGAAAAATCATCAAACGCTCTTGACAGAGCTTTGGATTGTATACAAGACCCTAATTGCTTTGAGACACAGTACAAAACAAAACGATAACATGACAAACATACAATCGGACTGCAGATGTTTCTGTATATACATTTTATAAAACAAAGTCGCTTCCCGTTGTCTGTCCGTTGAGACCTTTTAAACTACACAACGGATTTAAATGCGGTTTCCATCAAAATACATAGTGACAGAAAAATAAGGTTAATAATACAGGACGACGCAGGCAAAGCCGCTGGCTAATTTGCCCAATTTAAACGGTATGGGATAACCAAAAAAAGACTATAAATGGATTAATTCCAAGTAAGACCCCATTCCTATTGATGAGAGTCTACTCTGAAAACATACCGCCCTGTTTGGGAAAAATAGCGGAAATCTGCTCGAGCTGAAAGTTCCTCACATTTTCGGGGTTCAAAAACTAGCGCCTAAAACCATGTTACTTCACAAATCGGTTTTAGTCACGACTCAATATCCGACAAAGCTCAACCAACAATAATCTAACTTATCGTCTCTCATGTTGTGAAAGAAATACTTTCTAAGAACGCCAAAGTACAGATGATCTTGAATTGGAATGTCCATGACCTAATCCAGTTTCTAAAAAATATAAAAATCAATGATAAAAGTGTCATTAACATAATGATGACAGTAACGTCTGGTGGATATTCTCATGGCGCTTAAGCCATTTATTAACTGGTCGATAGTTAAAACCATAGACAAAATTTTCAATCTTTATTACTGAACTCAATACTTTAAAATCATATAAGTGTTTTAAAATCATGTTGTTCCAACTGAGTGTTGAAATTTACATAGAACAGATATATAATAAAAATAGGTTTTTTATTTTTTATGATTTAATAAATCATCATTTACAATATTACAAATAATCAGTGGTATTTGAATTAAAAGTTCGATAATTATATATTTTACATATAAATAAATAATAAAATTTAAAAGATATTGCCATTCGATTTATTCATAATATAAAATTACTGACATGATTTTACTTTGGCCACCATTTCACCCAGTTGCACAAACGTCCATTAAAGTTTAATTACGACTTTAAGCCCTAATTAAAGTGCTAAATTTGATTTTTATCGGTAATTTCGCTTAAAACCAATGACAACTTTAATGAACATTCATGCAACTCGGCGTTTGTGTCATTTCATTTTTAAACATTCAGTCTTACTTTTTATATGTTCAAATACTTACGTAAATCCGCCAATTAAAGAATGTCCTATAAATATTATTTAGAATCACTTAATATAATACTGATCGATAATATATCATACATTTACATACAAGGCAGTTAAAATCAGCCAACGTGTACAATAAGGCTGATGACATTTTTTTTTTATCAAACCGTCGAGTAGATTATTGATACATCAAGTTGAAATGTCGAATGACGTCACACCTTCGTACATTTTCTACATAGCCCCCACTCCTCAACTTTAATGCAAATTATCTATGCCATTTCTTGTCAAATTGAAGCAAAAAAAACGTAATTAATATATTATTATGATATCGCAAACACATATATAGCTTGTGATATGAGTGTGTGCGACAAAGACGTAATAACATATCATAAATAAATAAATTTATTAAAAAACACATCATAAATAAATAAATTAATTAAAAATACATCATAAATAAATTAATTGATTAAAAAATACAGGGTGCAACATTTTTAATGGTCGTTATGAAAACGTCTGAAACTATAAGACACACGATCTTCTGTTCTTAGTAACAATGTCATATTGAGGACAAGAAAAACTGTATGAAAAATTAAAAAAAAAAACGAGCTCTTAGGGAATCGAACCCAAGACGTTTTCAAAAATTTAACGCTAATACGGCAATACCAGAACATATACCGCAATCACCTGTTCGCTCGTTTGAAACTATCGATTGCCAGAACTATCGATTTAAGTAAGAATTAGGCTGTGTGTAATTTTCGTTAATTTGTGGTTCCGTTGTGAGATATAAAAATACAGAGGCTTCAAGAATTAAACTTGTATATTTCAACTTAAACACCCGAGTGTTGGTTTTAACGAGTTAATGTTACTACGAAACATGATGCCTGAGACTATTTTTTAAATCTATGAATGCTTTTTTTTCACGTCACTAAAATCGATGGCACTGTTACTAAAACAGTGGTCACTTTGGTAAATGTCTAATTTCAAAATCAACCGCAATCCCATTAAATAGTAAAGCGGTTGAGATAACGTTTTATGGAATTATTCAACGTTCAAAGTCGCAATAGCTTTCGGAACGAATGATTATTTGAGAACAAGAAACAATAAAAACTTTGTAACTTAAACTTAGAGAAATATTTGCGTCTGACGCTTACTTTAGACAATTCCAATTAATTTTAAATTAACGATATCTCTCATTAATTTTTGTCAAATAGTTGTAATGTGAAGTTCGTGAATATCTTTCAAGCGTCAAATTGAAAGGAATTGCGATAGATTGTAAATTTAGATAATCAGTACATATTATAGTTTCAGACTTCCCATAAATGTTACACCCTCTATATGATGATTATTTTCGGTGACATCACTAAAGTGAAAGTGTCATTTACACGTAACCCTGTCTTTTTATATTATTTAGCTAAAATTAGTGTCCATATCGTAGCCTTGATGATGAGTCTTCATATGATTTTTCAAACTGCCATTTTGTGTGAAAGCAGAATCGCAAAGATCACATTTGTACCTGGAAATGAAGTTATTAAATTGACAGCTCATGGCTGGTTTATACGTGTGGGGAACCCACTATACGTACATACAACATTTCATATTTATTTTTTTATATATAATCACCACTAACATAAACATAGACATTTCACATTCACGTAAAGAGTTCATCAATTATATGGGGCAATTGTAAAAAGAATGTACATATATTTATATATCGCACGTTGAGAATGACAATGTCACTAACCAAAAACGACATATTTTTTACTGTTGGCAACATTTTTCTTTGTTAAGTATAAACTTTAAAATGCAAAGATCCCTGTGAACGTAGCTTGCTTAGAAACTGCTAGGTGGCGTAGTGACGATACGTTGTTTAGAGGGGTGGAGTACAATTTCTTGAACTTTAAACGCTCATTACTCAAAATAGCATTTTTTGCATTGGTCACTATCGTTCTCAACGTACGATATATTCTCTGATCCGATAATTTTCGGAATTTGATTTAAAATTATATTTTTAAGACTGGAAACTAGAAAATGTTTATAGACAAATTTTATAGAATTGTGTCTTTAAGACAGTGATTATATTTATTTTAAAATCGTGTACTATTTGGACTAAAGAAACTGTGTACTCGTAAAATTATAGAGAATTTTTATTTCCGTCGTTAGGACTGGTTAACTTAATTTTTACTTTTTTTTAGTTGTTTACTTACATTCGTTAAGTTTTAATGACAACTTGCAAGCTCTAACTAATGTATCTATTTTGCCGTTTTAAACTAATTTCAATTTTTAAGAACATTTCGCTCACTGAATAGTACAGTGGCACAACTCAAAAACCATATATCGAGAAACGCTCTCCGAAGTTATGAAAATTTAATATTTTTAATTATGGAAATCAATTTTTTTAGCATAACAGTTAAATCGTTTGTATTATATTATTACTGTTAAGTTTTTTATTTTTTCTTTAAATTATCTATGGGATGCCACCACGACGTTCTGGCGTTTTCTCGAAATAATGGTTTTTGAGTTGTGCCACTGTACTATTCAGTGAGCGATTTGTGTAACTGGCTGTTAATTTTATAATGCCTGGTCTACACATATTATATTAATAAATAGTTATTATAGATAAGTACGTGTAAACAAACAATAATCATATTTATAATGAAAATAGCTTAAAAAATCCTCTTTGTCCCTGGCTCTCTGGGATGGGAATCGAACCCACGACCTTTCACAATCCGGGCGACTGCTCTAACCACTGAGCTACCCAGGACCTAACAGCATTGACGAATTATTCAAGTACTCGTTACTTTTTCGGTACTACAGAGAAAAAGATGTTTTTTTTTTAGAAAGTAGACTTTTAAGCATTTATCAAATTGATCAAATACAATAAATCACTTCAAATTAAGTTAATAATTCAGTTAACTACTAAACCAACTATCGTAAACCAACCATTGAAGCTCTTTACTGGTGTAGAAAGAGACGGGTAGCTGTTCTAGAACTTTGCAGTAATACCGCGAATACATTGGTAGGGCCGAGGCCAGCCTAGAAAGTTTTAGGTCCTAACATTATAGATATTGGTAAAGTCTAGTTAGACTAGATAAATATGCGGTAAACTGCACGTCCCGGCTTTCTTTCAGTGATCACTGATAGAGATGCAAGTTTCATAAAAATATCGATATATCGACTTAGACACATATCTCTTCCAGTCGATATCGATATACCGATTCCCAAAGCCGATTTATTTCCGATTATTTCTGTAATTTGCATTTATTAAAAAAGTGTCTCGTTTTTAATTAAATTCGCGTTAATTTTTATCCCGAACGACCTTCGTACCAATAGATTCGTTCATTCGTTTCCTACTCACCTTCTATCGTTAGTGTGGGCCCGTAGATGTTCCTGCAACGATTGCAGCCGCGGATACGTTTTATCGCACAGTTCACAGCGATAGTTCCTCTCGCCGGTGTGCGTCGCCATGTGCTCCTTTAGTCGAGACGGTAGATAGAACCTAGCGATTTGAAATCTATTAACAATATATAACACTAGCTCTTTTCCCGTGACTTCGCACGGGTAATCAAAGCCTATATCAACCCCGTATGATGTAGCTAACTTTAAAAATCGTTTCAGAACCTATTCAATGCAAACATACATACAAACAAACAATTAAATCTTTCCTCGCATATAATATTATTATAGATATAGTATAACACTATATACTTCTACAAAAATAACATAAAGTATTAATGACCATGTATATTAAAATATATACATATATATTATTACAGAGAATGTCTTGTTTTTTAAATTTTTGCCATGAAACCAGATTTCCTTAAACTTGGTTGAGAGAAGCTAATCTGAAAATTCATAGTTTGAATTTTCAGATTAGCCTTTCTCGACAAAGGTCTCGACCAAGAAAAAAATTGTATTTACCAAATCAAGATATTTTTAGTGATCCATATCATCGATCATAGCAGGTTGCTAATATATAACCTTGTTTTAAAACACAATAATCTGCCCCATCACTACATAGTATAAAACAAAGTCACTTTCTCTCTCCCTATATCCATATGTATGCTTAAATATTTAAAACTACGCAACGGATTTTGATGCTGTTTTTTTTCATAAATAGGGTGATTCAAAAGGAAGGTTTTTATGTATAATACAAGACCACGCAGGCGAAGACGCTTGCGGAAAGCTAGTTTTACAATAAAACTAAGATTTTTGTTGGATCTTACTGTTTGTAACACTAATAACTAATATGGCGCTTGGGGATCTTCGTTTGTGCAAAGCAGACCTACCAATTCCGACGATGACTAAACATACAACTAGATAGTGAATCTTATTTCAATAACCATAAGGTGTAAAATACAACGCATTAGGTGTCCATGTTACTCACATTGAGTGGCCGGGTCGACATAAGTTGGGAAATTTTGCCTTCTGCACTTATCTTATAATCTAAGAGTTTGTGACAAAAGAGTGCAAGGGCTTTCTGGCATATACTACGTCCGACATATATTATTATATAGCAACCATAATTTGTTAAGTCATTGTCAAGAAATTATGGAAATCGATATTCAATATTTACTTATATGTCAATTATAGATATTTAATACTTTCTAAAATTTTATATTAGAGTATGATTTAGTACTAAAGGAATATATCACTCACTACCCAGTTCGGAGATCAGGTGCTGGAACACCTGTAGACCAATTGTCTACTAATGTTAACGTCATAGAAGCATCTTTATACAATCTTAACTACTTTTTATTTTGCCATTGTACTATCTATCTGAAGTCTAATATTATTACATATATATATATCTCACCATTGATGTGTCAGAAAGACATTGCACTACACATATTGGACTTTAGGTTGATAGTACAATGGCAAAATCAAGTAGTTGAGATTTGGCCTGCATGTGGCGACGGAGCAATATAAAGTTCGAACAATTGTAACACATATTAAAGGTGCTTACTTTGTATAAGTTAAAATTGTGCGACAAACCTTTTTTTTAATATTTAACAGTAGATTAATATTAAATGTGCTTGCTTTTAAATAGTTATAATTTTGCGACAAACCCTTTTTTTATATTTAACAGTAGATTAAATTGCTCAGATTCACCAGTGAATGGCGGCTATTAAGCATATCTCAGAAAATGAGCTACGAAATAGTTTCGTAATGGTTGAAAGTTATCATTTAATGGAATAAACATATTCAGCAATCGCTAGAAGTTCGTTTCACGCCACCGGGTGTTCCAGCCTGATCTCCGCACTAGAAACTTAGCACTTTAATATACTTAAATATCTCTAGAAAGCTCTTGCACATTTTTGTCACGAGCTCTCCGTCTATCGCTGCACAAACCTTTGATCGCACAAATCGCATTGGTGCCTGTAGACCTTCAGATGATTCCTCCTATTGTGCTCCATTAAAGTTTTCCTCCGATTATAAACCTTGTCACACAGCTTACACGGAAAAGTCCTTTTATCACCGTGCACTTCGATCAAATGTCTATTCCTCAACGCGTACGACAAGAAGCTAGCTTCACACTTATAACAGTTAACCGTTGGCTTCTTCTCGTGTACCGTAGCCACGTGTAAATAGCGGCTATATTTGGATTTCAAATTTTTACCGCACACTTCACATGGAAAATTGGTTTCTACTTTACTATGAGACTTTATATGAGTCCTTAAGGAATTCTGTTCTAGAAAACATGCACCACACTGATCACATATAAACGTACCGAAGTGTTCTATCATATGTTTCTTCAACATATCAAAGTATGGAAAAACACTATCACATTCTGTACAGGTAAGATTATTTAAAGTCAAACGGAACTTTAAAAATTCATTGTCCACTGGATGCATTAATTTCCCATGTATATTAGTGATGTGACTCTTAAACGAATCTATATCCTCGATTTTGGTGTTGCACAATCTACAATCTATCCTCGTTATATCAATTTTGGGTATTTTCTTGTTCTCCATCATGCTCTCGAAGTCTTTAGGGTCGTGGGATAGTGTATGATCTCTCAATTCGTTTGGGTTAACAAACTGATCTTTGCAATAATAACAGTAGTAGTTGCTTATTCTGTTTTGAAACGGACAGACGTATGAGTTCTGTACTATCGTGACAGCATTGCTGTAAATCAAATGGTCCCGATCAGATGTACATTTCTTTCTCGCTCTGGGTGCTGCTTTCTCTTTTTCTCTCTTCGGTGGTGTTGATTCTGTAACAATGTTATGTAGACATGATATGCTTTGTATATGTCAGCGGTTTGTTTCTATGTGAATCACTACTCAAACCTATCAAATAATGTCATGAACTACCTGATTGATCTGCCATTATGACTGAATTATCTGACAGTCGGACAGATGATCTGCCAAAAGAACTATTTGATTAGTCATTGACAAATCGTGATTGGTCTGTCAACCTGTCAGATTCGTTATGGCAGATTAATCAGAGCTTTAGTTACGAGGTACAACCTCTGGTAGCTCAATTAGATAAAGCAGTCTTCTGAATCCGAAAGGTTACTAAGTCAAATTCCACTGTAGTATTATATTTATTTTAAGTTATTAAATACTAGGGGGTTTCTTATATAAGGGGTGGAGGGGGGAAGCGTCATCGTGAAAACCTCGCGAGGCAAACTGAAGAGGTAAAGCTCATTAATAATAATGATATAAATAGAAAAGATTTGATTTGCTTATTTGATAGTATCAGATAGACTGCAAACAAACGTAAACAATCTGACTTACGGATAGGCACATCATACGTGGGTAGGCAACCGATGTCAGGTTATAATTTAAGAGGGCCAGGTCGCAGTAAAACAACTATAAAGAGAATTTCGAAAGTTAACTTTTGTGCCAACTGATATGTGAAAATGAATAATACTTCACTACATAGTATTAAACAAAGTCGCTTTCTCTGTCGATACATCCCTGTATGCTCAAACCTTTAAAACTACGCAACGAATTTTGATGCGGTTTTTTTCATAGATAGGGTAATTCAAAGGTTTTTGGTAATTCAAAGGAAGGTTTTTATGTATAATACTAGCCCACGCGGGCGTAACCGCTGGCGGAAAGCTAGTTATGCATATAAACTATTAAAAGCAGTTTTGAATTGTCCGAAGAATTTTCCGTGCCACTCTTTCAGGTCATCTTTTGGCAGACATGAAGAACAAGCGAAAATAAACTCACCAAGTCTAAATAAGAACTAACGACATTTACATCAATCATGAAATTAAACATTTGAGGTTATCTTTACTATGACAAAATTGGCTAGATGCATTAGTAATGCGACTCGAGTCCTGTGTTTACTTGAGTCCTGTTTTTACTGGAGTCATTCGAATGAATTTGTAAAACTCGTACTCGAGTGAAAAAAATGTCACTCGAGTTTCTATGCACTCGAGTTACTGAGTCAACTCGGCGTATCAAGTTAATTCTCCTACCACTAGATGTCACTTCGCGACTCTGTTTTGGTAATCGATGACGCTTATTTATTTATTTTCTTGATTACATAAATAAATAATATGTCAAAACTCTTTTAATGTGTATTTCATTCATGTTATGTATTTGTTTAAAACTAGTAAGAGAAATCTCTCTTGAGTATCACGTTTGAAAATTTGTACTCGAGTCACTCGAAAACTAGAGTATGACTCGAGAGGTAGTTGATTGGCTCGAGTGACTCGAGTCATAAAATCCTACTCGAGTCTCCTAACATAAGATGCATATGTGCGAGCACAGTAGCAAGTTTGCGCATGAAGCAGAGATATATTATGGCAGCAGAGCGATTCTATAAAAATCTGAACCCGAATTCGAATTCATTCACACTTAACTTATACAGTATTAGTTTAAAGATTCGACTGATTTCATTTTTTGTATAAAAATACAAAATAAGATTGATTGATTGATTCATACATGTTCTCTGTTCAGCGATCGTATAAGTTACATCTATTGCTTGCGATTTTGCTTAAATATACACGAAAATTAATTAAATAAAAAATAAGTTCAAAACCTTATTTTTGCCACTGATCATAACAACAAATCCATGGGCTATAGCTATTATAATATATAAAATAAATCTTGTCTCAAACTTTTTAGAGCGTGATTTTGCTGTGTTTTTCAATTTATTATCTTTTTATTAATCTCTTAATTCATAATTTTGTATTTTTTTTTTTCATTTTTAGTTGCATTTATGATACAGGATTTCTCTCTTTTATCAATGACTTCCAGAAACATGCGGGATTGCATACCCTAAACAGTACGTACCATCTGGTTTGTCCAGCATTTGTTCTAGTTTCTTGCTCAGTCTATGCACTTTACTCAGCAAGTTACGTTTTATACTCTTCTTGGCTTGTCTAGTTCGTGGCTTCACATCTTCTATATCACTCAGCCTCTCTCTGCTGTCCAGGTCATCAACCATCGCTGTGTAATCTGGATCTGTTGGATATTAATCATTATAACTACGGAAGTAGTCAAGCGGATCGCTGGTATTCAGGTGTCGCCGTCTCTGAGGTCCTGGGTTCGTTTCCAAGTTGGTTTAATGTAGAACATGAGTAGGGTCGGTTGAGGTGCCTTAATTAATTGCCATAATACAATGGCCTTTAACGCATCTTGGAATTAGGGCACTAACAATGCTGGCAGTAAGCTAGTTTACAGATAAATTCACTTACCTGCATCATCTCTTTCTTCTTGTGAATCAGAGTCATCACAAATAGGTTCCGGCTTCACTTCCACTTCCACTTTGCTGTCCACCTCTGCAACATTACTACGTTGAAACAAGTAAAGAGTAAATAGAATAAGCCTAATAGGCTTATTATTTTATATAAATAGTATAAGCCTAATAGGCTTATTATTTTATATAAATAGTATAAGCCTAATAGGCTTATTATTTTATATAAATAGTATAAGCCTAATAGGCTTATTATTTTATATAAATAGTATAAGCCTTATAGGCTTATTCTTTTATAAAATAAATAGAATAAGCCTATAAAAATTTCAACTGTACAACTATCACGGTTCATGAGATACAGCCTAGTGACAGGTTGTCGGACAGCGGAGTACGAACCCTGACTAAGGTCAGGGTTCGTACTTATCATTATATATTGGACACTTAACTGATAATTATCTGTAGTTACTGGCAAAAATTTTTAAAATAAAAAAGGTATTCATAATTGTATGAACTTTTATTTTACTTATTTTAAATTATAAAAATTATACAAAACAAAATAAACAAAAATCATTAACTGTGAAATCAAACTGTATAAAAAGTTTACTGAATATATAAAAATGAAGAACTCCCATGTTGCCACAGCAGTAGAGATATCAATAAGCTTTTGGTGATTACCTTCTTTGGTATCCAGCCTGGCTGCAAGGAACATCTGTTCACATTGCAATACTTGGTGGCGGAAGGCGCACGCATCACGCAGACGCGACACGCATGTAGCGCACACACCACACTCTTTGCTTTCACCATCGAGGTGTGATAGCTATGCGGATAAATAATATATCATACTCTATAAATCATCATTAGTGATTTTATTTTACCAACATTCATAATGCAATTATGATAAATCCCATCTAATCTTATTTCTTTGTAGCTCAGTAGAGTTTTCGGTCGTTTGGTCCAGGGGTGGGTTACCAAAATATTATTATCTCAAGCTACTCTGTGTTTCAGAAGGCACATTAAGCTGTTGACCCTGGCTGCATTTCCAGTTGTTAATACCCTCCAATCTGTATTGGGCCAGTACGGAGGCTGCCATCCTCTTCAAGCATAAGGGAGGCCCTGAGCATAATCATAATGAATCTCATTTTGGGGTACCTGGGGTTGAGAGATTTATTAGTGTTTTTTCATCATATTAATTATCAGCGTCTGACCAAAATTGACTTTACTGCAACAATTTCAAGTTTTGGTTATGTTTAAGGATTGTTTGTTTTGTTTATCACCTAAATTAGGTTACTACCAGTGGCTTTGCACACATAGTTCATAGGAGAACATTTACTGGAATAAAAAAAATCCTGTAGTATTCTAAGCCTGAATTTATAATTCAGACTTAAAATTTGTTTTACCTAATTTTCAGTAGTGTTTTCTGTTCAAGAACAAAATGAAATATTTCTATAGTTTACTGGGATATAAATAATTTATCTTTCAGTCTTTGCAGCCTAAATGTATAACTAAAATAAAAATCAACTTATTACATTTTATTATGGTTAAAACTAACTTACTTCAAGAGTAACACTGACTGATGAAATAAAACAGTATGAGGCCTTTGCTGAGTTTATTTCATAGTTGTATTGTTTATTAATGACAAATTGGGCTTAGTTTGTTATTTTAAAGTGCACAACCCAGACTAAATAAATTACATTAAATTTGAATAAAATTTTATCATAAATCATGTTTGTTAGGTAGTTAAAAAATGTTGGATAACAATTACGTTTATTTAAATTTAGATAATTGATTTTAACTTACCATAAGACCAAAGCAATCCATGAACATATCAGAATAAACCTCCTTGGTACCTCTCCAGTCATACTCCAGTGTTAATACACGACACTTTTTTATTGACCTACAACACCTACATAGACCAGGATCAATTATGGAGCATTTGTTTTTCTCGGACACTGTTGCAGCAGACATTCTTAGAACTTTTCAGTGAAAAAACTTACTGAACTATGATCTCTTCGAATTATTCAAGATAAACCATCACAATACCTTTTTACTTCCACTCTAGTTTTTGATAAATTTCGTTGCTTCCTGGGTGTGGACACAGTTTTATTTTTGGTTGGGTAGTTTGTCATTGTAGTATCTTTGCATCTGTATGTGAAATATGTAGTTGATGATTACGAAAACCCTTTTTCACATTTCAGACGACTAGAAATGCACAAAAAAACAACATCCATTTCTTAAAGAGTCAAATAAGGATGTTAGATTATTTGATAGTTTACTTATCGATTCAGAATAATCTATATTTCGTTTACGACTAGTCATCAAATGTTATTAGAAAATTAATGATATTTATAAGAAAAAAAACTCGAAATGAAAATAAATTTCATTAGAGATTTTGAAACATTTATGTCAAACCAAGTCTCTATAATTTATCTATGAAATGCGATTTCATATTTTATTTCTCAAGAAGATTACAATCATTATGTAATAATAATAAGCCGGCGTCACATTTTTTTAGCTCCCTTATACGAAAATGACTGTCTTTGAGTGACTTCAATAGCCTAGTGTTTAAATTCTCTTTAAGTGTCACTGTTATTTTTTTCTTTTATTAATTTATAAAGAAAGTGGGAATACATTTCATGGATGATTGAACTAAATCAGGAAAATACTAAAAAATTTGTACTTCTCGGAATAATAATCATGACACATAGATGTTTTAAAACTCGATATATTTATCCGAAATATTCTCTATCGATTGTTTTCTAGCATGAAGTATGCCTAATGTCAATGCACAGACCAATATCTGACCAACTTACTGAAGAAAGCAGATGAAGTTTTCAACCACAGACCAAAATTTTTATAAAACGCGCGAAGCATTTTTTGAGCTTCTGGATTGAATTAATTGTCCAAATAAATGAACTTAAAAAAAATTAGAAAAATCATTTATAGTAATAATTATTTTGGTAGGTATTGAACAAAATACCTACCAAAATTATAGCGATAAAGATTTATAGCGTACAAAATTATTTGTAATGTAGTAAGCTAACGTGCTACCGTGTGTACCTAAAATGTACGTGTATTATATAAACATCTCGCACAAATATCCGCCAATAAAGTTTCTTACTTCTACAGTTGCAACTAGTACCGATGGCGCCATTTATTATTATTTTTGGACATTGAAAATTACAATGTGGGTGGTAGTTGAGACCCCACAGTAATCATTTCTGGGTTTCACAATGAGAAAACCTAGTCGAATTTAGAAACTAGTTAAAGTGTAAAACTAGGTAGCTTCGAGTCACGCGTATATTTTTGATGGTGAAAAATCATCTGGCAGGCGGTCCGTGGCCTTTTGCCGACTTAATACCGTGACGCTATTGGTCACGCAACCAAAGTGTCACGATATGACAATACCGTATTTAATTTTATCTACCATAAGCGTATTATCTTATTTTTTCTTTGGATGGAACCAGACTAGAGATGCTGTGATTGCATGAATTGTGATTGCGTGATGTAATAGGCATCCAAAACTTTTTCCAACTACGACAGAAACTTGATATTGCGTTTTATACGATATTACTCGATATTTAATTTATTATTATTTATTTGGCGGATGGCGGCAGCCGTTTGGAGGCCCCAGGATCGGAGGCCAACATTAAAAAAACATCAAGCTCATTATTCTGATCACGAATACTAAGCCGGTTTGTTTAAAATTTCAAGTTATTGCAGCAGTATGTCACTAAATGAAAACCAAGGAATTTTTAATTAAACGCATACCTACATACTTTCACATAATTTATTAAAAACTTATAAATTATCTTCTCCATATTGTATAACATAATAATGTTAAAATTAAACAGAAAGGTACCTATATTTATAAATAGGTAAATATTCTATAAATTAAATATAATATAAGCGTACGCCTTATCGTGATGTAGCATTATTAATTTACAGTTTTATAAATAATATAAAATAAAAATATTTAAATAATTATACGACCTAAGCACAGGGCGAAAATAATCAATTTTTAAGAAATAGTATTATCTAACAATTTTGGGTTCTAATTGTGATGTTTTTAAGCTTTTAATATTTTTAGTGTTTTATCTATCCTCTTTTATCACAGACATGTCATATTGTAGAGTGAGGGAGGTTATGTTGATATACACTTATATTGTTTAATGGCCGACTTACAACACGTACTATTAAGTTGATAAATTTTAATTTTGAATTATAATAATTAAGAGTGATTAAAATAAAGAAAATAAACAATAATAAATACGTATAAACACACAATAATCACTTAAAATGAACACATTAGCTATTTTTAATAAAATATGCTTAAAAAATCCACTCTGCTCAGATACCCGGAGGTGAAGCGGCAACATCCGAACACCTTTACCTTTCTCGCTCTAACTAATGACACGTCTATGAAACAAAACGAGAAACTTTCCAATGTCGGACATCAAATATAAGAAAATAATCGGCAATACAATCGACTAACCGATAGTGTTGTGTTGACATTGACACAACAACTTAGCGAGTAATTATCCAGTACTAAATAGTTCTAGTAGTAAATATAGAAGTCTTTGAGATCGGCACATAAGTGACGGAAATCTCACGGATTAGTACGCAATGCGACGTATTTTCCGTCAACAATGCAAGCTTTTACGTATACACACATCAAACATGATAATTTTTAAATAAAAAATATTGCGATAGCTTTAAATAATAATATAAATAATAAAAGATAGTTGTGATAGCTTCAAATACTTAAAAAGATAATACTGATCAGTAAAAATAATGAGATTAAATTAAGATTCTTAAAACAAACAACTTACATACTAAAGTCATATCTGAATTGTTATTCAGAAATCTGTTTTCTTTTTATCATAAATAAGCCAATTAAATTATTGCATTGTTGATATCGGGTTTTCTTTTATTTCTCATCTTCTTTTTTTAATTACATTGACATAAAAAACTAATTACTTACAATATAAAGGCGGATTTCATTGACAGATGTGTTAAGTAACCTTTACACAAGATTTCTACTTCAACCATCAATAGCATTAAGTAAAATATAAAATAATGTAGTAAAATGAATATTACTTATAAAATTTAATAAATAAATAATTCTTAAATACAAAACAGAGACTTCTATATGAGTACAAGACGAGCCGTTAGGAACTAAAATTGTGACACTGCAATGACAGTTCATCAGTAGTACTGCTCGCTCTTGATTAAGAGTAAGCGAGAGGGCAATAATAATTTTTCTGTTAGCATATAACACAACTACTAATTAGTGGTCGTTATTATACGACCACAACACAGTGAATGTTGTTAAGAAAAAATATTTTTTGTCAGTGGTAAAGAAATAATACAGTCACTTATATTGTTTCAATAATGTAAACAAAACATGCTTGTAATAATAATAACGTTTTACAGGTCAAAATTGTTAATATGTGTTTGTTTGATTCACAATCTTCACAGTGTCAGCTGCTTTCATAGCTCGCTCTCAGTAAATTATATGAACAGATGTCTTGAGATAACTTTTAAACTTTTCTAGTCTTACACATAGAAGTCTTTGCTTACATATTTCATACATTTTTAGAACTGAGTGTAAGGCCCAGGTAAAAATTAAATAAGTTTTAATAACGTATAGTTCGTTAAATACAATTTTCAGAGTTGGCATACCAAATTCCAAATAAATCGGACATAAAAGACAAGTCGTTTTAGTAAAAAAAACTTCACAAATATGTGTTTTGGCGGGTTACACTTGTATAAGCTTCAAAGGTGATCAGATCACATAAACAAAAGTAGAACTTAAATAAGAGTCACAAAACTGAAATTCTGCTAAGTACTTTGACATTTAAAATTAACCTTGCTTCATTGCAATTGAGTTTGAAATAGTATCCAAATGTAGCTGGAATAAATACTACAGTCCCGTCGCCGAACAGAGAGAATTCCGTACAATGACCCGGCATTACATATCTCTTTCACTCATGCGCAAACATATTGCTATTGCGCTCGCACAGATGCATCTGGCCAATTTTTTAATGGTTAAGTAATAAATAATAAAATGTTTACGTCATCTACTAGTAGGCACATAGGTCAACGTACGGAATCCTTTGTATTTGGCGACCGGACTATTTTTAGCTCTATAGGAATGAAGTTAGGTTTGTTTATTGAAGTCTCTACAATGAGACATTGCATTTTACAACAAGCGATATTCATAGAGGCTGTCCAACTGATGTCAACCCATAATTACTGCCAAATTTCTTTACTCAATTTTAAACCTTAAACCATTGGAGACTAATTGAGGAAATTTGATATATTATGGCTTATTACTTGATGTGACATCTGGTTTTGAACGGTTTTTTTTTAAATATTCCCTCATTCCTATAAAACATAACGAGAAACATACAAAGCTTTATTTCTCCTTTAAAAATAACATCCATCAATATCGCACTCTGGATGATGACTCTTAATATGTGATTTCAAACTAGTGTTCTGTATAAACGCTTGCCCGCATATATGACATCTATACCTCCTATCATTAGTATGCGTCCTAATATGATACTGCAAAGATTTCAACCTAGGATAAGACTTATCACAATATTCGCATCTAAAGTTCCTCTCACCGGTGTGCGTAGCCATATGTTCTTTCAACCTAGACGGCAAGTAAAATCTCTGATCGCAATACTCACATTGGTGTTTCAGCACCTTCTGATGATTCCTCCTCTGATGTTCCGTCAAAGTTTTCTGTCTATTATAAACTTTGTCACAGAGGTTGCACGGATACGTTCTGTTCTGACCGTGGGCTTCGGTGAGATGTTTGTTCTTCAACGCGTACGACATAAAACACTCATCACATCTAGGACACCGGATTATAGCTTTCTTTTTATGTACAATATCCACATGCATGTCCTTATAATGATTAGATTTAAACACTTTACCGCACACTTCACACGTATGACGTTCGTCGTCTTTATGACGTTTCAAATGAGCGTCCAAACGAGGCTTCTCTAAGAAACAAAAACCACATATATCACAAGTGTAATTACTAAAATGTCCCACCATATGAGTGTTCAGAGTGTTGAAATCTTCGAACACGTCATTACACATAACGCACACTAAATCGTTCCATGTTAATTTGAACAGTAACATTTTGTCTGGCGCTTCGAAGAATATCTTCTTGCCGTGAACTTGGTCTATGTGCTGCTTGAATACGTTGATATCGTCTATTTTAGTCGAACACAATCTGCAGTCTATTCTTGTTATGTCGATTTTTGGCATTTTCCTGTAGCCCATTAACAGTTGGAAAGGCTTTGTGTCATGGGTAACCGTATGTTCTCTGAGATCTTCAGGCTTCGGATAATAGTCTTTGCAGTAGAAGCAGTAGTAGTTATTTCTTCGGTTCTTGAAAGGAACCACGTAGGAGTACTGTATTATGGTCAGCAGATTCTCCTCGGACATGCAATCTAAATCTCTGTCGTAATTATTTTTCTTCTCAACCGGTGGCTTCTTTATTTTCACAGCTTTCTTTGATGATCCTAGAATATTAGTAATTAAAATGTTAAAAGTAATTAAAATTAAAAGATTCAGAGAAAAAAAAGTTAACATTCATATGGGAGCTGTAACTGATGAGATACACCCTGTATGGATTTTCCATAGAGTTCGAAAGAAGGCCCTGATAACGCCTAATCTCAAAAACAATTATGTCGTGTACACCAATTTTTCTAAGGCCATTGATAAAATTATCCATTTATTATTAATAAAAAAATTTAAGAATCAGGGTGCATGGCAATTTATTACGGTCGTTTGAATCCTTCATCCGAAATCAGGCTAGCCAGACTGTTTCCGTTAGAGGTTATTGTGAAAGTCTATTGCCGTTATAATCCGGTGTATCTCAAGGGTCACATCTTGGGCCTGTACTTTACTCAAATTTTATAAACGATACTGGTGATTCGTTAAAAATAGTAATCATCTTCAATGCGCTGGTGATTTAAAAATAATTTCTATTATAAATGACTACTAAAGACTGCAAACTGACTTGAACTCATTAAATAAGTATTGTATTGAAAACAGACTATTTCTTAACGCAGATAAAATTAATATAATATCTTGTACAAGAAAAACATTGGCACTGTTTTTCTTTCATTTCAATATTCAATTAATTAACACGATTTTGAAATGGACGAATAGTACTCGCGACTTGGGTATAATTATGGTTCAAAGATCACTTAGAAATTTAAGTTTTATATAGAGTATAAGTAAATTATTTACCCAGGTTAGTACTTTAAAATTTTTTATTTTACTTTCGTAAGAATGGTAGACTTTGAAAAATAGATATAAAAAGTTTATTAAAATATTGAATACTTTCACCATATTTTACTAGTTCTGGAAAATATGGTGAACCCTACGACGAATCCTTGAAACTATTGACCCCACAGAACATACTGGTTGTTTAAGTAGATTACTTGAACTTCGATGGAAAGACGAGTAAGCTCTAGCAACAAAGGGGCCGTCCATTAATCACGTGATGTATTATTCAGCATTTTTAAGCCCCCTTGGTGGTACATGGTGAGGTTTAAGACCCAAATCACGTGTATTTTTTAATATGTACCTACATAAATATTAATTTTTGACGCCGCTTTACCGTTTGGTAATCGCACGGTTGGGGTTTTGGTACCGTTTGGTAATCACAAAAAATAAATACACGTGATATATTACTACATCACCCTCGTGATATTTCGTGATTTTTTAACGAGTGAGTGCCTTTAGTGCCTTGCTTGATTAATGGTCGGCCCCAAAGGTTAAAAAAAAGGTTTGAGAAGGTAGCTGCGGGCATAAAAAGATCTTCGGAATGTTTTCGCGCATAGCTTTCAGTAAAGAGATTAATCGGAGAGATTTAGAATTAACTTTCTTTTTAAATAAAAGAAGCTTTCAGACATCTAAAGCAGTTTAAGTAGTGAAGGCGGCTCGCAAACTAAATTTGAACAATTAGAATTAGTATGGAAACGAATGAAATCAGACAAAAAATCTTATCGATGGCCTGGTTTATGTAATTTGAAAGTACAAAAGTATTTTTAAGGACCTTCATGGCACAGTAGCTCTGGAATGGGCAGCCCCCTTATTCTACAACACTGAGGACAACTGAAATAAACTGTTCACGGTGCTTTGTGCGGTTATGCGAAAAGTGTTTTGACACATTGGAATTCTAATAAATTTATTGGTGCTATAAAATTCTACAGAAACAAATCAAACGTTAATAGCTGAAGTAAGTCCAAGACTCTATTCTAGTTATTAGCGCCCACTTCAGACGAGTTCGGTTTGCACAAATAAAGAAAAAAAGCAAGAAAGATCAGAAAAAAAATGTTTATTAATTTAAAAGAGTACTTAAGCTTGAAAAGCCATTCCTCGAAAATGATTTTACATTTCCGAGATGAAAGTTAGGTTATTATAAAGAATTTAATTCAAATGTGCTGTCTAAATCAATTCTGCACTTTTTAACTTTAAAAACAACATCAGCTCTTCTTCTAGTTAATACAAAATTGGGATCGTAAGAACAGGACGAATGTTTACATTTTATAGTATTAAAATCAATAACTTCCTAAAGGTCAGCAACTGCCATAGTTCATATAGTTGAGTAGTCGAATACGATACTCAATTGCCATTACCTTCAATACTGATCTTTGGGCAATAGGGATGACTGGGTAAAAAAAATGCAATTCTATTTCTGGACCTGAAAAGCATTAGGTCGGATGTGCAGAACCAGCTAAAATCACTTATCGCCATAACGTTGCTACACTCTTTTTTCTCTTTCCGGCAAATTAACTCTTGTATGTTTGTGCCTTTTTACTCATGAGCAACAGTCATGCATAAAGTCGGATCAGACGACTTTTTCAAATATTTTGATTGCATTTAGCTATTTCTGTTTTTATACAGTTTTTATACATCCGACCTAATGCTTTTCAGGTCCAGATTTAGTCCGTCAGTCAGATTATAGAAAAGTATTAGATACGTATTTTTTTTTACTTCAATTTAACAAGAAACCGCTTAGATAACAGGCATTAAAGTTGAGGAGTGGGGGCTCGCTACGTCACAGTTGAGTAGAAAACGTACTCAAACGTGACGTCATGCGTAATTTCAACTCCATGTAACGCCGTAATTTTATGATTACGAAAAAAATACGTGCTTAATATTTTTTAACACTACCTGACGGACAAACAAACAAAAATTAGTCATCATCCCTATTGTTCACTTTTTCCGGTGATTACGACTTTAAGTTGTCAATCGCGTAAATAGGCCTCTTGGTCTTTTGATGGGCGACTAAAAATTTAGTATCTCGACTTTCTCCGTGATTCGGAATGTTGCGTAGTCGTTTACATCCACCAAATGGCGAGCGAGGACCACATTCGTCCTGTTTGATTTCATTAATAGGCTGAGGATAATGACGCGGAAGTATTTCTATATTTGTAATTACGACGACAGTAAAACACAAAAATTTTCCGCCAAAGCGGCTGCCAGACGAGATTAGTATGACGATTCTCATCGTAGCTGAAGAACGAATAAGATAATAGTGATTTATTCCCATGTACTTTATTTAATTCATCGACAGTAACTAAAGTGACGTGTTTTATATGAATACGTTTTTATTGAATATCAAAACATTTACGAAAAATAGGCGTCTACATGGAATGTACATTTAAGAAAAAGCCCGCTGAATCGAACAGTTGGAGAAGAAATTCAGTATAGAACGAAAAAGTATAAAGATTGCATCTTGGCACATATACACAGTCTAGTAACTGCTCTAAGCAGTCCTATAATAATATAAGTTAACTCGATGTATCGCCGGAATTTAATGATTACGAAAAAATACGTATTTACGATTTTTCAACAATCTACCCGACTGAACAACAAACAAAAATCAATCTACATCTCTATTGAATGAAACTAGTACAGATTAAAAGGTGAATTCTTATTTGGGAGAACTAACTTTACCCGACAATTTTCTCATCTAACCCAACTGCTAAAGGCACAGCGAGCTGATCGTGCGATAAAGATTACAAAAAGGGTGTCTTCTATCATTGTTAAATTCTCTTTACGCGACCAATGGTTTAAACCAAATACTAATTTTATTTTCCATAAACTGACTACAAGACTGTAAAATACTTAATAATTACCTGCTTTTTGTTTCTTCGTTTTAACTTTCTTCGTGGACGCACCGTTACTCTTGGACTTTTTCTTTGTTCTTTTCCTCTTGATCGGCTTGTCGGAGTCTGAAGAGGACACGTAAGATTCTTCTGCGCTCTCTTCTGAGGACTTGTGGGCGTTTTTAGTTGGCAGTTGAGTTAGCTGGGCGTCTTTGCTTTCTTCTTTCACTGGGGGTGCTATATCTAAAAGAGGAGACAATAAACGTTTGTTTACTTTTAAATATACATATTTTGCTAGTTGACCCGACGTATATAGTCGCCGCCAATCGGCCACAGACTGGCAAGATAATGATGGCTACCAGGAGTGCAGCCACTTTGTCGTGCCACAATAAAAAAGTACAGTCTTTGAATATTTTTAGCTTAGATTAATTACTACAACACAAGAGCTCGTGACAAAAAAGTGCAAAAGCTTTCTTAAGCTTATTATTTATATAAAAAAAAAAACAGAATAAACTGCACAGAGGAACTAGCTTTCCGCCAGCAGCTTCGCCTGCGTAGTAGTATATTATTCATGAAAGCCTTATTCTTGAATCACTGTATATATTTATGAAATCCACATAAAAATCTGGAGTGTAATTTGAAAGATCTCAGCGTACAGACAGCAGGAAGCGATTTTATTTTATACTATGTCATCTGAGTATAGACCTCTCAAAGATCTCCACTACGATCGGTCTTGCGCTGCTTGTATCCAGCGGCTTCCTGCAAGCTTTATCAGATGGTAGGTACACCTGGTGGGGATCCTCCCCAACAAACATCGTCCAGTACGCGGTCTCATTCAAGAACCTTTCCGCCCCAACGGCAATCGGTCCTTCTAGATATGTCCCGCCCACTGCCACTTCAGCTGACCAATCATTCGAGCAATGTTAGCAACGATAGTTCTCTTTATACTACATATGTACAGCGTCTCCCTGAATACTGGCACATAATGAAGTATCAACCTATATCAAACTCTTGCACATTTCTATCATGAGCCCTCAGTACATCACCCACCATGTGCATCGTCGACGTCAGGCGCGTAGTCCATTGACAGACCGTCGTCATGGTCCAAGGCGCCAGTCGACTGGTGATCGCTCATGTCGTCTTTAGGCTCTGGTTTTGGCTCAATCACCAGGGGTTTCTTAATCTCTATAAAAAAACACTATTTAAAACTCATTATTTTACTATAGACACCCTAAACATATTATTAACATAATATTAAAGGTTAAAGTATGAAATTGCCGTTTTATTGTAATAGGTTCCTTGAATCGCCATATAATCTTCATGGTTTGAGGTTTTCAAAAGAAACTTTTTCACATGGTTTTTATGATGTTTTTCTTTTAAAAATGTGAAACATTTGAATATCGACGTTCATTTGTTTTTGTTATTCAACTTAGACAAGAAAAATGGATACTTTGAAAATTCGAGTGATTTTTGAACAAGAATTCCGACGCGAAAGTAATGTGGCAGAAACTTTGGAAGAAAGATTTTGGTTTAAACGCTTTCGTGATGGAAACTTTGATTTGCGGAACGAGCCACGAGGAAGACCGCACACAGGTGAATAACGATGAATTAAGAGAAATGGTGAAAGCCGATCCTAGTCAAACTACCCACGAATTAGCGGCATGGTTTAACGTTACCTTACAATATTGACTCCTTTGCGTCAAATCAATAAAATAAAAAAATATGAAAAATGAGTGCCTCACGATTTGACTGATCTGCAGAAAGAAACGCGTGTTGAAACTTGTCTTGGCTTGTAGAATCGGTACAGAAATGAAGGAATATTGGATCGAACATCACATGTCACGAACATGTGATGAAAAGTCGATTCTTTATGATAACCGTAAAAGAAAAATGTAATGTCATGCGAGATGTTAACTCGATGTATCGCCGGAATTTAATGATTATAATGGCTGACCACAGGTCAAACATCACAACAGTGTCCTAAAGCAAAATTTACCAATAAAAAGGTAATGGTAACTGTTTGGTGGTCTCAGCATGGTGTTATTCACTATAGTTTTCTCCGATCTGATCAAGCAATAACGGCAGATGTCTATTGTGCCGAACTCCGAACAATGTTGGTAAAACTAGCGGTAAAACAGTCCCGACTAATGAATTGATCTTCACCATTATTTTGCTCCATGAAACCGCGGGACCTCATAAAGCACAAGAAACCTATTTGAAGCTTCAGGAACTGCAGTTAGAAACCATTCGTCATCCTCCGTATTCGCCTGTCCTGATTTGGACTTAATCTACGTGACAAGAAGTTTTCTTCCCAGGAGTACAAAATGCTTTCACACAGTTTGTGCAGTCTAGATCCTCAGAGTTATATCGCAAAGGTATATTAGATGGCAGTAATGTATAGATAATAATGGTAATTATTTTGATTAAATAAATTTGTTAAAAATAAAAAAAAATATTTTCAGTACAAATTGGCAATTTCATACTTTAACCGCTATTATAATAAAGTCAAGCCGCTGCATAAGAAAGGTAATAGCTCGATGTAAATGACCTTCCAATATATTTACTCCCTGTGCTATCTAAGATATTCGAAAAACGATGATCACCAGCTTCATTCGTATTTAAATAAATACAGGTCACGTGTCTCCACAGCCGAGGCTTTTCTTTATAATACTGAGTATATTAAAGAAGCTACAAATGAAAATGTCATAGCCGTGTTACTCGGATTTTAGTAAAGCATTTGATAATATTAACCACTCTATATTGCTTGAAGTGCTTGATCGTTACGGTATACGTTATACGTAATAAAGCCTCGATTTAAGTCTTATTTATCCAATCCACACAGTCTGTTGTCGTTTTCACAGTTAACAGGCAGATTAATTTGGTAGCAATTGATGAGTCGACTCCCTTGCTTATAAGCCAAGGGTACTCCAAGGAAAGATACTGTGTCACTATATATAGGTATAGGCTGGTATTCAACTAATCCAATCTTCATCTTATATACTACTTTAAGCTAAACGAGGGATATTAAGAGTATATGATACATATTACTGACAAGGGAGGTAATTGTTGATCACATACAACATGATAATATTTGCATACTACAGAAGATACTCGTACATACTTTTACAGCACTTTATATAACTGAATTATGCAATTCAGTTATATAATGCAGATGTATTCAGGGTTGCCACCTTTGTTTCCCAAAAGGTGGATACATCTGCTAATGCTGTAATTTACATCGAGCTTTGCGTGATATTACTTATTGAAAACAGTGATAAACGAGAAACGTTTATCCAATCATAGTTATATTAAATAGATGACATAATACGATTTCCGTTTAATGGGTATCGGCCCAAACATTCTTACCTTCATCGGGTTCTTTGTCGGATAGCTTAGCGTGCAGGAATAGTTCTTCACACTGCAACACTTGCTGCCTGAATGCGCACGCGTCACGTAACCGCACCACGCACGTCGCACACACGCCGCTGTCTCGTTCGTTATCATCCACATGTGACAACTGAATAAATAAAACACATGAATACACCACAATAAATTCAAGCTTTCCACCAACTGCCCTGGTTATTAGAAAAACAGAGTATATCCCACCAAAAACATCATCAGTCTCGTTACGTCCTCACTGTAGGGGCTCAGGTCTTCCTTATTGATTAAGGATGGGTCATAAACTTCCACAATGACCCAATAGGTAGCGGAGGGTATTAACAACTGCAAATACAACTGGGACCAACAGCTTAACATGCCTTCTTAAGCACGAGGTAATAATTTTTCGTGACCATTCCCATGACCAACCCTTGCGAAAGTTGCTTGACAACAACGATTGTGGGCCGCGGCTATTCCCCAAAAACATAAATGTGAAATTTAATAGTCAAGTCAATATATGCCCTCAGTCCTTTAAAATACTAAAATATGCCCCTTCACTCCTAAATTGTACTTTGGTCACTTTTGTCTTAGGGAAGCAAGTAAATAGGTTCCGTATGTGTGGTGGTGTTCACGGCACCTGTAAAGGGTCTAAAACGTCATGAAATAACGCACTGAAACCGTTTAAAGTTGTTTCAATTAATAAATAGTGCACATAAAAATATACGAAATCAGTAAACATATGTATATTTACTTGCTTTCCTTAGGCAAAAGCAACTTACAGTCATAGGATTATAATCAAAATCATGCGATTTATAGGAATACTAGGTGTTGCTTGTTATAAGACTGACTTTAGAATAAGCAACAACACATTTTAGATTATATTTTTTTCAAACCAAAGTTTTTGGGTTATGAACTGAACATGTAGTTCCTATATGATTCACTACTGAAAATCCTTGATACTTAAGATTTTTTAAAATATGAATGAGAGTTTGTTCAAACAATAATAATAAGTTATGAATAGATTAAATATATATAAAAATATATTTTGTATTTTTATATATATATATATAGTTATATATATTATTATATATATTTTTATTTACATATATATATATATATATATATATATATATATATAAATACAAAACATTAACATGACGATAGTAGGTAAATTACAAGCATGGGTGGGCTTATATAAGAGATCTCTTCCAGCCAACCAGGCGGTGTGGGGAGATCAAGCAGTAACGGGTGGCTGACAAGTGCATAATTATAAAATTTTAAATGTGAATTAATATTAACATTAAGACATACTAACATGACATAGAAAAAAATACATAAATAAACAATATTATATAAATAAATATGATATACATACATAAGAAATAATGACTACAAAATTAAAAAGAACATTGTGCTAGAAAGTGCTCTTAAAGTTATGTTTTGAAAGATACAGTAGAGTGGAGTCTCAAATTTTTTATGGGAGTTTGTTCTATAGTTTAACAGCCCATACCATAATATACTTAAATTATTAGCACTAAAAACCAAATATATGTAACTATTTGGGTTCGGAGTTATAAACATAGCGATAATTATCTTGATAATTATAAGACACAACATTATAAGACATGTTTTTGTAATTTAGGACTTAAATCTTTACAAATGATGTAAAGAAGACTCAATTTACTTCTAAATTTCAGTTTTCAATGAAGTGAATAATAAAATCATATAAAAGCAAAACTCACCAGGATTCCAAAGCAGTCCATCACCATGTCAGCATAAACTTCTTTGTTATCCATCCAAGTGTATTCAACAGTAAGAATTCTACATTTCTTTATTGCCCTGCAGCAGCGACACAAAGCTGGGTCTATTAAAGGCCCATTATTCTTTGGAGTGCCCATATTCTCCGACTTCCGATCAAAATAGAATGACTCTCTTAAAATTTCACATTAAATAGAGAGTTTCAAACTAATTTCAGTACACCAATATTTTAGGATGTGGCCCAAGCACAAAAATAAATTGGGCTAAAATTCCGTCGAAAGCTTCCCCAACACGCCAACGCCAACCAAAACGTCAATAAAAAAATTAAAAAGTCAAATTCGTCTCGCTTATATTTTAAAACTATTAATGTCACAGCTTAGTCGATCGACTGTAGCATCACTATGAGTCATCGTCATGTTATCGATTTTTTTAGATAGACCGCGGGGAACGAAAGCTATAATATAGGTATTCATATAAACAATCAAAACAGACAGACAAAACAGTGATTGTATAATCTTTTTATATTTAAATGATTGATTTAATATAATGTTGTTAAAAATCGGTATCACTAATCGATAGATTATTTTTTAAAAACAAATGATATTCACTTGGCTACCAAAATGTGGAAATATTTAAAAAATATTAGTTCCCGAAACCAAACTAGAAATCGCTACAGTACTTTCTTGATTTCTCCGTGACATCTCCTTCGGTTTTCTTTCGTATATTAAAGTAAATAAATTTTCAAAACTCAGTAAACAACTTATATTCTATTTGTTCTTTTTCGTATTTGCATTGATATCTAAGTTTTGAACTTTTCAAATTTCAGTTTTTTAATATGTTAGTTGAAAGCAACTGACTGACTTTGGTCCATGCGTTTCAGCAAAAATCAACTTTTGGTAGAGTTGCCATCTAATGAGCTGTTTTTAGTGCTTTCTTTTTTTCTTCATAAAATACCATTCATTTTTTTTGTGCTTTCTTTTTTTTCTTCATTAACTACCATTCTTAATTCATTAGTCTGTGAAATCACAGACGCAACGGTCTGTGATTGGCAGAGTTTACATAGCGATGACATAGCGTAAAAAAAAAACAAAACAAAAGGAAAAGATTATTAAGGCTAAATGACAGTGTCAAAATTATTTAATAACAACAACGTTCCATATATTAATGGCTTATCTGCGCATTTCGCACAATTCTGCCAATATCAAGTCAATAAATAAATTTCTACATGTACCCAAAGTATTTATGAAACTAGTCATAGAAACCTCTGTTTTTCGGATTCCTAGGCTCTAACAAGCAGACAACACTATAATTATTATGATTGTTTTGTAATGAGTTCCTCACTAAGGGATTTACAGACGGAATTTCTGCGCCAAATGAAAAAAGTTATAAAAAAAATGTCTTTTGTTTGGCGTTGATTTTTAAGTTTAAAGTTTTTGTTTTTCATTAATTTTAAAGAATTTGGGAGAAAAGAAAATGGAATCATCATCGAAAAGTGATATTAATACATATTTCGGTCGGTGCAGATGTTGCCTCGAGCAAGGTTACATGAAAAATTTGTGGTCGGAATATTATTATGAAGGCTCTTGTGAGATTTACGGCGAAATGATAATGGAAACGTTTACGATAACTGTAAGTGGGTTCCTATGGTAACTTTATATACACCGAATACTACTTTTTATATCTCAATAAAAAAAATGTATTCCTAACCTTAATTGTTAAAAATATCAATAATAAACATCTTGCATGATTTGCATATAACAAAAAGGAGAATGTTTATATGATTCTGGCGAAATCCACAAGGGCAACGCTATTAATTAAAAAGAAGAAGAACTGATTAAAATTCAAGTTATTTATTTGCTTTAAATGGAGTTATGTACAGTGATACAATTTTGTGGATAGATGCATGTCAATGAGCTTATTCCTATTTAGCTACATTATTATAGCATGCAAAATAAATCATCAGAAATAAATATAATTATATTATTATTGTGATGTATATGAAAGGATTTACTCAACTATATTCAAAGTTGCTCAGTGGCGTAATGGATAAGTGCGGGGACCTATGGTTTTTAAGCAACATACACAATAGCCAACCACGGCCAAATTATTTTCTTGAATTACTCTGTGCTTCAGAAGGCATGTTAAACGATTGGTCCTGGATGCCTTTGCAGTTGTTAATATCCCCCAATCCATATTGGGCTAGCATGAAGGATCATGGTTTATCCTCCTTAACCATCCATAAGAAAGGCCTGAGCTTCTGCAGTGGGGACGTAAAAGTTGATTATATAATTTAACCTTATTCAAAAGCGACAAATATTCTTTACTGGATACAAAAATTCTGCCACATTTTTTTTTTTATTACTTTGTCGTTCCACAGTGGGAACCCGAGGAAGACATGAAGTATTACATCTGTGAATCGTGTGTGATCCGATTGCGTGATGCATATTACTTCAAAAAAGAGGTTGTGGCTTCTGAGAAGCTGTTGTCTGAGGGGTTTGATGGTAAATATTATGAGTCTAATTTTTAATTAGATGGACTAAAAAAAATACACTGATAAATCGTTTTACTATGTGTTACGTATGAGTGTTGTGGTCTGACTGATTAGAAGTGATTTTTGGGTTTTGATTCATTCACATTTCATATTTTACTTTTTAGTCAATCTTATTGTTAAGACATTATAGTGAGTGAAATTGAGTTGCAAACTCAAGATCTTTTTCTTGATTAGAAATACATAAAATGGGGTCTCTGCGATAGAAATACTTCAAGTATTTTAGTAAAACTGTAGCTTTGGCGGAACTGTATTTTCTATTCAAAAGATAAGTAGCTTACTGAAGACATTAAATATCACATTCCAAGATCTGATGAATAAAAAACTCAATAATTAATAAATCATTTAGTTGAGCTATGTCACAACACCATAATAAACGCTTGCAACATAAAAAAAAAGTGGAATAGGATGTCAGTTTTGCCCATTTAATTAATAATAAGAGTAAATTTAAAAAATCTAAGTATAGGATCTCATGGATTTGTTTATTTTTATTTTTATTATTGTAAGTCTCCACAATCATATTGGGTCGTGGGCATGCCCATCGTGGCCCTCACGGTTGTTCTGTCCCATGCACATTAGAATGAAATAGCTTTTTATTGCCTATAAAAAATAAAATATGGGTAGGTATAATCTTCACAAATTACTAATGCTGCCATTTTGATGACGTTTACAAGTACACTTTTTTAGTTGGGTTGTGTTGAGATCACATATAATTTATTGTTAAGTTTTGTTGTTACTTGTTATGGTTGGCTAAAAATGATTTCGGAAACTAATGTTTATTTTTTTTAAATACTTCTTCATTAACAATCTATGTGACGTCCATGCCGCCCTCTAAATACGAGCGCACTAGGAAGTCGCCTAGTTTGCCTACACGGACGGGTCGATCCTGCCTTTAGTTTGCTTCATATTGGCAAAATCCAATCGCCATAATTTAGGCAGTGTATAGATCTGAGCTTTTTATTTGTAGATAGCGAGATAAAGTTGGAGGTTTTAGAGGACCTCAGTGAGGATGGAGAGGAAAGTATAAAACATGAAGACGAATTGGAGACGTTGGTGCAACATGATGAGAGTGATACAGAATACTGTGAAGTCGAATATTTAGATGATGAAATCATAGAAAAGGAAGGTATGTTAATAGAATATACAACGTGTCCCAAATTTCAACGATAAGCGGGCGCCAAGAGGTACCCTTGCTCATGTGTACTTATGGAAAAATAAGAAAAAAATTATATCTTATCTTTTTTATTACAAAATTAAATTCGAAAATCTTCGAAAATTTACACCTTTTATGATATTTTCAACTACCACGACCACAACTTCTCAATTATGTTCAATCTTTTTTTGGTATCGGATACCTAAGTAGCACTACTATTCGCTACAACTCTTTCGAAAATTTTCGAATTTTATTTTATAATAAAAAAGATTAATAAGATATTATTTTTTTTTCTTATTTTTCCATAAATACACATGAGCAGGTCTACCTCTTGGCGCCCGCTTATCGTTGAATTTTGGGACACGTTGTATATTTATTTGATAACACGCATTATGTGATCAGTATATATCTAGTAAAAAGGAAAGAGGGAAGAAGAAAGGACTATAATAATATTGTAAAAAGGAAAGAATTTATTTTTTGTTTGTTTGTAACGAATAGACACCTAACATAGGATATATTATATCCCGAAAAAAGGCAAATAAAGCGATGAAAATGGGAGTGGAAGTTGTATAGGGAATCAAAACGTTACCGTAGTAACCCTTTTCAATTTGTATCCAAATAAACAGTTCTCTAGGGAGCACGCGTATGTAGTGATGATAAATATAACAAAGCCCCCGCCGTGTCTGTCTGTTCGCGAAAATCTTGAAAAGTACTGGACGAATTTTCATACAGTTTTCAACAGGGAGAGTGATCACTAAGGAAGGTTTTAGTGTATAATAAGTTTAGGTTTTGTGCAAACTGACGATATGTCGAAAAATTAAGCCTTTCCTCGACAACGCTGCCCAAAAATTTTGAGTAATAACAAAACAATGTATGGGGAAATTGTACCTCTTAAATAGATCTACAAAATTGTCCATGTTGGTATATTTCTATCTTCCAAGGATAAATCACAATAATCTTTTTTAATATTACAATCAAATTATTGGTTTTTTACTAATCTATTTTAACAATACAGTATCAATAATTATTCAATTAAATACGTTAGATTCTTTATATAAGAAAAAAAAAATCAAATGAGTTATCGTAAAATAAAAATTTCCGCGCGAGAAATTAAATAGCATTCATGGACAACAGAGGGCGGGTAGGCGCCGTCCTGGGGCGGCAATAGCAAGTATAACGGCATCTTCTCTATGCTTCATTGATATTCCCGAGCGACATCGCGCGCGATTCCCTGTGTGTAATAATAGGAATGACGGCTGAGTAAAAAAAATAATTTTATTCAGTACGTCAGCCAGATAATAGAATAATTTTATATACGATTTTTTTTTGCTTCAATAGGCTTGTGTCCTATAAGTGAAATTGCAGGTTTCTGTTATATGTTCGGAACATATGCACCATTTTAACCTATAAATAATTGCAAAATTATTTACCAATATTCCTCTATTAGGAATAAATTAAGAAGGAACTTCAACAGTCCATATCGATTATATTCCGTATTCGGTTATTTCCCTCGACTTGTAACAATTAAATGCAAATTTCGGTATTGTCTCATGTCTGGGTGTTGTGGTACTTTCGTTCTTTCAGAGATTTATTTAAAAACTAATAATTACTTTTTTCTGTCTTGCCATTGCTAGGCTTAAATATCCAATAAAAAAAAATTATGCCACTTATTTGCAACATATAACGCTTCGGAAACTTGAAAATAGTAGGATAAATATACTACAAAAATTTACTAAAATACATATCGCATTACATTAGTTAGATTAAACATTACAACTTTCATTTCATATAGCTATTATAGCAATAAATATAAACGCACAAATAAATAAATAAATAAATGGCTGCATATCGTGATATGCCTCGGCAGATCTCGATCGGCCCAATTCAACGAATGACCTATATAAGTATAAAATGAATCACTGAAATTTATGTACGCGCATAACTTCCGAACAATTGCATCAAATTGGATGATACTTTTTTATATACGTTCCTTACTGCCAAGGCAGGACGAGGTTTGTATTTAAGAAAATGTATAAAAGGAATTACTCAGTCGCCTATGGAGAAATAAAATATGGTGGTACGAAGTTCGCCGGGTCAGCTAGTATTGTATAAGACAAATTTGCCTCCCGCAGTCTGAACGCTGAGATTTTTTAAAATACACAACGGATTTTAATTAGATTTCATGGATATACAGGGTGATTCAATAATAAAGTTTATGTTTATATGGAACAGTATCCTAAAATTAAATAGTGATATTACTTTCTTAATATAATTGATATAATTGCAAAATTATTTACTAATATTCCTCTGTTAGGAATAATTTAAGAAGGAATTTCAATAGTCCATATTGATTATATTCCATATTCGGTTATTTCCCTCGACTTGTAACGATTAAATGAAAATTTCGGTATTGTCTCATGTCTGGGTGTTGTGGTACTTTAGGTCTTTCAGAGATTCATTTAAAAACTAATAATTACTTTTTTTTGTCTTGCCATTGCTAGGATAACATCACTATATATTTTAGTAAAATTTTGCAAAATTTTGTTTCTATATAATTTTGTACATTTATTTATACATGAAGGAGCTCAATGGCGCAGTGTTCAGTGCTCTTGATCTGTGATACGGTTGTTAAGCAACTTTCGCAACGGTCATAGAATGGGTGACCAAAAATTTACTATCTCGAGCTCCTCCGTGTTTTGGAAGGCACGTTAACCGTTGGTCTCGGCCGCATTAGATCCGCGTGCATCAGGCGGGTCATGGCCCTTTCTCCCTTTTCGATTTAACCCATAGGGAAGGCCTAATAGGCTGATGGTATATCTACATATTTATACATAATTTAACGTTTCTATGAACTAATTTTGCAGAAACCCCAACAACTACTATAAATAATGTAACTCATTCTGATCAGTCTAAGCTTGATGAGTCCAATCCTGATGAGTCCGCGTCTGATCAGCTGAAGGGACAGCCAAAATGGCCTCGTAAAAAGAAACGTGGTGAGACAACCAGGAGTTACAAGAATTACTCTGAGGAAGACATGAAGCTATGTTTGGAAGCAGTCAGAGAAAAAGGGATGAGTGTATCCGCAGCAAGCCAATTGTATGGTATACCTAGGAAGACTGTGTGCGCCAAGGTTTATAATCCACAGAAAAAACCAGGTCAGTTTATTGTATTACTGAATATATTATTAATGCAAAATGCTTATTTAGTAAAAAAAAAAAATTACTAGCATTATGAATGCAAAATTGCTAAAATATAATAATCCTTGAATTTAATATTTTAATTGGCTACTTAACATTTTAAATAATTGGTGATGAAAAATGTTGGAAATGGTAATTATATGTAAACAATAATAATTATGTTTTAAAATAAATTATAAGTTATTTTATTTGTGCAAAATTAACTTAAGATTTATTAATTACGGCGGCCATGACGGGGCATCGTGTGACGTCACATTTCAATGAACTAAACGTCATTGTTGCGAGTGCAACCAGTACTCATGTTTGAAATGTAACGCCACTGCTCGAAATGTCAAGTGACTGATTGTTTTCGCTGGAATTTAAATTAATGAATAGAAATATGCTTTTTAGTTTATTTATTAACTCTTTTGAAATTATCATATAAAACTATTTCTTTCAAAAATACTTATATAAATTACTTTCCTAACGGTCAAGTAGCCAGTTCTTATACTTAATATGTTCGTTTCGAATATTGCCAATTTTATAATAAATCCTCAATTATGCAAATATAATACATGTGTATCGCATTACTGCGAGTCAGTAAGCAATCTGTTTCAATGCACTTTTGATATCGTGCTCTTTGATTTCTATTTACAATTTGTTCTATTTAGAGGCAAGAGCTTTTATATTGAAAGATAAATTAGTGCGAAGTAATAAACACTTTATTTTATATCATATACCAATATTATTTAAATTTGTAGGAACAAAAATATAAAATAACAAAAATATCGAGCCTCGTCATAATCATCCCAAAGCTCACTAAAGCAAACATATGCGCGAATTGACAAAACATTGATAAAAATTGATTGCCATGTTAGTTACCACCGTAACTACCGAAAGCCTGCAGTGAGTTGAATAAAACCTATAGTTATGGATGTGTGCTATTGAAAAATGTTATCATATTTGAGTTTTACATTTAGTTACCACGTTAACCGAACTATTTACATCAGAAGTGTCGTTAGTTTTGTGTTATATAATTTATTAAATTACTAATAAAAAATATTAAAAAGAACATTCCCAATATGCCCCACTTGAATGAAACTTGCAAAATTATATGAAATCAATATAATTTGAATCGTGCTATTGAAATAAATTAGTTGTGCTATTACCCAAGGAACTGTGAACGAAATGTGTCGTGCAAATCCAAAATTAGGCGAATACCGACGAATTCATGTCCCAAAAAGGTCTTGTATTCTTCTAGATGAGCAGTGGGTAGACAGCACTATCCGGATATACGATGAAACAAGTATACAGCATACTGTACCCGAAGTAAAGAAACACAGGACAAACATAAGAGCCGTTCTGGAAAATTCCA